GGGTCCTTAAGGGAGGGGGGGGTGTAGGGTTTAGGGTTTAGGGTTTAGGGTTTAGGGTTTACGGTTTAGGGTTTAGGGTTTAGGGATCAAGGGGGGTATGTAACGCAAGGCTCCCTAGCATTCCCCACTACTCCCTAAGGCTCGCTGGGTACCTACCCCCCATGAATCCCCCTCCCTTAAGAAGAACCCTGGAACTTACTAGCTGAGTGAGTACACTTTACACACTTTTTGGGATACTATAACGTATAACCCCCCTATAGAACTGAAAGTGTACACTTTTGGGGGGCTTATGAACTCAGCAAATAAGATAACTGAAGCGCTTGCTGGGTCATGGGGCCCGCGCATCCAGAAAGTCTTAAGGTTTAGGGTTTAGGGTTTAGGGTTTAGGGTGCAGGGTTTAGGGTTTAGGGTTTAGGGTTTAGGGTTTAGGGCTTAAAACAAGGTTTGGGGCTTAGGGTTTAGGGTAGGTCGCACATTCACTGGCTAGCACAGTGGCAGAGGTCGGAGCCCCAAAATTCAGAAGCTGCCCCCATCCCCAGGTCCCTCAATGTGGCCGTTTTTTTTTTTTTTTTGGAAATGCTGTTGTAGGAAAGGTTTAGGGTTTAGGGTTTAGGGTTTAGGGTTTAGGGTTTAGGGTTTAGGGTTCAGAGTTTAGGGTTGATAGGGTCACTGTTGTAAGCATCTGCGGGCTATAGGATCTCGAACACTTGACCACTCCAAACCCCTGCGTGCAAGGTTCATGATCAACCCGGTTCAGAGTCCCCACGGTGTTTACACAAGCCATTAGGTCCCACCTTGGGTTGATGCGGCTTTTGGGGGCTTCCGGGCCTTTGAGGGGTTTTGGGGGCTTTTTCGGGTTTTCGGGCTCTAAGAAACCCTCAACCCTGAACCCTAAATCCCTTGCCCTAAACCCGAAACCTAGGTACAGCTGCTTTGTGGCGCAGTCATGGGGGGACAAGGCCACGGACATTTAGGATGTGAGGAAGACCGAGACCCTGATTTTGGGATTAAGGTGCAGGGTTTGCAGGGTCAACAGGGTTTAACCCTAAACCCTAAACCCTAAACCCTAAACCCTAAACCCTAAACCCTAAACCCTAAACCCTAAACCCTAAACCCTAAACCCTAAACCCTAAACCCTAAACCCTAAACCCTTTACAGGGTTTATGGAGTTTTGTAGGGTTTACAGGGTTTGCAGCGGCTTTTCGGGGTTGATGGGGCTTGTGGGGCTTAAAACGGGTTGTAGGGTTTATGAAGTTTCGGGTTCCCCTGAGACCCTAAACACCCTTATATAGTCTTTGGCCGACTCGGCAGGCCCTTCCGTTTATCAAGGGTGCTTGCAAGAAGGCTGCTGAATTTCGAGCAACCCCCGAAGAGCTTTGACCCATTTTTTGGAACTACGAAAACATCTGGCTCAAGAAGGAAGGTCCTTGTCTGAGGTACCATTGCGGGCCCCGTTTTCTCCGCAAAGCTTGGAACAAAGTGCGCTGATGACGATCACGATGCGCCTTCTCTGCGTTGCCGTGGCTGTGGCCAGCGCCACTCCGCAAGGCAATGAAGGCTTGCGACAGCGTGTCGAAGCTTTGGAGCGCGTGCTCGCGCAGCAGCAGGACAGCAGCTGCCAAGTGTACTACAGAGAGAGAGAGAGAGAGAGAGAGAGAGTGAGTGAGTGAGAGAGACAGGGAGCGAGTGAGAGCGAGAGCGAGAGTGAGATCGGGATGTATATATGTCTATAATTGGTACGGTTTCTCTTTGTGTACATATGCCGTATGTATATAATCTGTTTGTACATCTACAGTGTATATATAGATATATTTGTGTGTATAAATATAAATATAAATATATAAATATATAAATATATAAATATATAAATATATAAATATATAAATATATAAATATATAAATATATAAATATATAAATATAAATAACAATATAAATATAAATATATATAAATAAATATAAATATAAATATAAATATAAATATATATATATATATATCCCCCCCAAGATCTACGTTTACAGGTTTCCAGAGCCCAAAAAAAGTCAAAAACACACCGAAGTCAGGATGCCAAAAAGCCCAAACCAAAAAAGATATCTTACTTCGAACATCTCCACCTTGCTTCTCGTTAAAAGGAAAGGGGCGCAAATAGTATGCTCAAACGAAAACACAATTGATTCAAATACGCTTTCTTAGTTTTTGCTTGCAATTGGGGTTGGGCACTCCAGGGAGTCTCTGGGGCTGGGCACTCCAGGAGTCTCTGGACTTGGGCACTCCAGGGAGTCTCTGGGGTTGGGCGCTCCAGGGAGTCTCCGGGGTTGGGCACTCTAGGGAGGCTCTGGGGTTGGGCAGGGATTTTGTGGGGTTTGGCATTTGGGCACTCCATCTCAAGGGTGTCTGGGGTTGGCGTTGGGCACTCCAGGCAGTCTCACTTCAGAGAGTGTCTGTGGTTTGGGCACTCTAGCGGGACTCGGGTTGGGCACTCCCGTAGCAGCACCCCAGGTGCCCAACCCCAGAGTCTCCCACAGTCTCACTCCAGAAAAAACTCTGGCGTCGGGGGTTGGGCACTCCTCGCTCATCCCTGGAGTGCCCAACCCCAAAATGCTGGAGGGCCCAACTCTAGAGTGTCCCTGGAGTGCCCAACTCTAGTCTCCCTGGAGTGCCAACCCCAGAGTCTCCCAATCCCAGAGTGTGCGGAATGCCCAACCCCAGAGTGTCCCTGGAGTGCCCAACCCCAGAGTATCCCTGGAGTGCCCAATGCGCAGAGTCTCCCTGGAGTGCCCAACCCCAGAGTATCTCTACCAAGAGAGGGTGGGGACGTTCGAAGTAAAATAGTTTTTGGCTTGGTTTTTTTGGTTTCACCTCTCCAAGAGTCTCAGGTTTTTGTCTTCTTGATTTTGTGGTTTTGTTCCCCACCTTCGGTGTGGGGTAGTTAGATTTTAAACTCAACTCTTCTCCTCGCCCGGTCTACTCCTCCCTGGAGTCAGAGAGTCTCGGAATCATATGTTTATCTGTTTTTTGGGTGCTTTTGGTTCATCTCTCCGAGAGTCTCAGAATAATGTAGGGCCATACTGTGCTTGTTTAGATACATAGTGCCTGTACTAGGCAAATGCCTATGAAAGAGGCGAGTGAACTATCCTAGCTTTCGTTCATTCATAGAACAGTTGGCCACACTGATGCGGCCCCTGCTGAATGTTGCGGCAACTGGGTGTGCCCTCCAATGTCAGAGAGCCATGCAGGCCCCTTGCGCCTGCAGATCAGGCATCACCATGGTGCGAGCTTCATCGAAGGCAGGAGGTGAACCGGAACCATCCCTGTGCGCCTTAGTGATTCCGGCGCCAGCTGCAGGTGTCAAACCGAAGACTGCCAAATAACAGTCACAATGATTTTCCAGACTGCCACACTCCAAACCGAAGGCTGCCAAAAACAGTCACAATGTTTCGTCCCGACTGCCACATAGACCCCTAAACCTCCACCCCACCTTCCCCCGGCCAGAGGAGCCCTAAACCCTAAACCCTAAACCCCAAACCCTAAACCCTAAACCCCGGCCAGAGGAGCTCTTGGCTGCTCAGGCTGAGGAGCTGCAGGCGACGGAGCGCCGCCTGCAGGCGGCGGTTTAGGGTTTAGGGTTTAGGGTTTAGGGTTTAGGGTTTAGGGTTTAGGGTTTAGGGTTTAGGGTTTAGGGTTTAGGGTTCGGGCTCTTCCTGTTTCAGCATGGTCGTCCTTGAACCTCGCAAAGCAACCTGCTTGGGTGCGCGGGGCTTGAAGGCCCTGAAATTCTTGGCTTTCCCTTCACGGCTGGTTACAAGGAGACCCTAAACTCTAAACTCTAAACCCTAGACCCTCTTCAAGCAAGAATCATATGGGCCGAGGCAGGTCTTAGCGCCTTGGCAGCTTTCTCAGAGTTGAGTTGCTCCTCGGGATCCCTCGAAGGGTTTCTGCAAGGTGTCGAAATCAACCAAAACCCTAAACCCTCATCTTATCAACCCTAAACCCTCTTCTTATCAACCCTAGACCCTAAACCCTAATTTTATCAACCCCAAACCCTAAACCCGAAACCCTAAACCCGAAACCCTTAACCCGAAACCCTAAACCCTAATGGTTGCTGGGCGGACACAGGTCACACCCCTGCCGCCAAGCATCCATGGGGTTTCAGACACCACGCGGGCCTACACGGAGAGTGAAGAAATCAAGGTTTTCACCTCAGCGTTGAGGGATTTTAGGGTCTAGGGTTTGGGGTTTGGGGTTTAGGTTTTGGGGAGTGTATGGGGGTTTTGGGAGGCTTTGGAAGTTTTTTACAAGCTTGGCGTCTGAGGTTTATTGTGATTTCGGGGGGCCTTGGGTCTGAGGCCTCTGACTATCATCCCTATGAAGGTATATTGGCCACAAGCCCTTTGAGGGTTCACTTGGGTGCCCAAAGGTTGGGAGATATGAGGTTCCTCAGGCAGTCGGTTGTGGGTTGCAAGGCGCCAGTTTTTCCAGGGCGTCCTCGGAGAGAGTCAGCTATGGCTGGTCGTTTTTCCTTGGGAATCTAACACCGGCAAAAGAAGGAGGTGAATCTCACATTCAAGGGACTAAAAGGGTAATGTAGGGGCTACTTAGGTGTGTGAGGACTACATACCTATATATATATATGTATAAAGGGGTTATATAGGGGGAATAAGATCAAGGCCCCCTTCTGGAGGTCCCTCCTGATGTACCTTAACACGTGTTGTTTGAATGCAATCGGCGCATGTTGAGATCCTTCCAGTGCCAATGAAGCTGGCTTGCGTTTGCTGCGTCTTCTTGTTGACCCACATGAGGTCGCATCGTTGTTTGGGGCTTCTGCCTTATTTGTGCTTCCTTGTGGGATGTTCATCCTTATACTAACCGTCCTTTATAGGGATTATAGTACCCCAGCTACTATACTCCCTATTAATATAAAGGGGGAACATCCCCAAGCGCCTCCTTCTGCGTTCCCCCAAGGGCGCCCTGGATCACATTTGGCTGATCATCTGCGGCGCCATGGTCATGTTCATGCAGGCCGGGTTTGCCCTTGTGGAGTCGGGTTGCTGCCGCGCCAAGAACGTTCAGAATCTTGCAGCCAGGGAGGCAAGCGTTGCATGTTTGGGGCTGCATATGGGGGGGTTTCCGATATTAGGGGTACCTTGCTTGGGGTTCTGATTATAAGGGAGTCCTACTATGAGGGGGGGTCTATATTGGGGTCCCTTGTTTTGGTAAACCCCCCATATTGGCAGGCGCATGTTGTTTGGGGTGACCTTTCCAGCTGAGGAACATCCTCCTCAAGAATCTGACGGACGTTTGCATCGGCACAATCGGTTGGTGGATTTCTGGCTGGGCCATCGCTTATGGTGGCCCTATGAGCGACGATGGCTTTCTGGAAAATGGGTTCATGGGCACTGAGCAATGGTTTGGCGTTGGCTTCGTTAACTATGCAGAGGACGGAAAGTTCGAACCCACTACCGGAATGCTCGCTGGACTGTGTTCTTCAGAGCTTTCTTGTTTGTTTTTTCGTCAAGAGGCCCTCCTAAGAAAACCAAGACAAGCAACTTGCTCCTCGGTTTTAGGGCCAACAGCCTTATCACTACATGAGCCTAGCACAGTGGCCACTTACTATCCCCTACTTGTGGTTGTAACCCTAAACCCTAAACCCTAAACCCTAAACCCTAAACCCTAAACCCTAAACCCTAAACCCTAAACCCTAAACCCTAAACCCTAAACCCTGAACCCTAAACCCTAAACCCTAAACCCTAACATGAAGTATCCAACCTATCCCGTCTCATCGCATAGGCCCCTATAGTTGGGATGTCCCCCCTTACTCGAACAGTCCTTAATGCGGATTCTAGTACCCCACCCCCCCCCCCCCCAATATAATCCCTATTAAGGAGCTCCTTTTTTAGGGGGAACAGCCCCAATTAGCCTCAATCAAGCCAAGGCCCAACCCTAAACCCTAAACCCTAAACCCTAAACCCCTAAACCCCTAAACCCTAAGCCCTAAACCCTAAACCCTAAAAAGAGCCGAGGCTCAACTGGTTCTTCCAATGGGCCTTCTGCTCAGCGGCAGCCACGATTGTGAGCGGTGGAGTGGCCGAGCGCGTGAACTTTGGCGGCTACTGCCTCTTCTCGTTTACCATGACGGCCTTCGTGTACCCGGTCACTTGGGGGATACTTGGGATTTGTGCTTTGTTTTTTAGATTTTTTCGGGTGGACTATAATTCCTCAGAAACAGCAACAATCGTCAACTTTGCTAGGGTTCCAAGTTGCTTTATAGTTTTTTTGGCACTATCCTTTTTCCCAAGAACCAGCAAAGATCATCATGTTTGCTATAGGGTTCCACGTTCAGCCTAGGTCATCGTGGCGTGGACATGGGGCTATGGATGGCTGGCATCCATCAATCGAACAGGCCGGGAATTTGCTCCTTATACTAACAATCCTTAACTAGGGATTCTAGTACCCCCTGTTAGAATCCCATAAAGGAGCTCTTAGGACTGTTACTAACAGTCCTTAAAAAGGGGATTACAGTACCCCCTCCCCCCCCCCTACTGTTCTTGTACAAGAGGGGAACATCCCAACCGAAGAGGCTTCATGGACTTTGCTGGCAGCGGCGTGGTGCACATGACGGGCGGCATCGGAGCCCTGATGGGCGCCATCATCGCCGGGCCGCGCGCGGGACGCTTCCAGCATCCTGAGGAGTTCGGCCCCCACAGTCTCTTGACCGAGCCTTCAGGAATTCTTGGGGAATAGTTTCTGAATTTTGGGGGATGATAGATTCCTGAGAAACAGCCAAATATCATAATTTATTGCTACAAGGAGGGGCCCCCTTCTTGTACTAACTATAGTAACTATAGTTAAGGGACTGAAAACCTAAGTTAGAATCCTTATAGCCCAATTTAGGGCCGTTGTCACTCTACTTATAACTAGGGGGCCCCTCCCTGTAGGGTTCAACAGTTCCAAATTCAGTATAGTAATCCCCTGACAAGCTGTTGTCGGGAGTTCTGGAGGCTTACTTCCAGTCCCGTCCGCCTAGTGACGGAGTGCGCAGGTCATATGAATCTAGGGGTAGTTGCATGGTCCCTTCTAACCATGGGCCCACTTGCGGAACTACCCTAGAAACCCCCCCCCCCAAAAAAAAAAAAAAAAAAGTTGAGTGGCCACGCAAGAGCCAGCGAAGGTCTTCCCTTGATCACCATGGGCACGTTCATCCTCTGGTATCCTGCCCTCAGAAGATCGCCGATTCTTTTTTAGGGTTTGGGGTTTAGGGTTTAGGGTTTAGGGTAGCCAATGTTTCACAAAAGCGTTACGACTTCGGTTCTTGAATCTTGTGCAGGTGTCCGGAAACCCGTCCCAGAATTTGGGGTTTTAAAATTTTCGGGTGCTTTCTCAGGCTTCGGGTGTGGGACCTAAAACCTAAACCCTGAACCCTAAACCCTGGACCCTGAACCCTGAACCCTGAACCCTAAACCCTAAACCCTAAACCCTAAACCCTAAACCCTAAACCCTAAACCCTAAACCCTAAACCCTAAACCCTAAACCCTAAACCCTAAACCCTAAACCCTAAACCCTAAACCCTAAACCCTAAACCCTAAACCCTAAACCCTAAACCCTAAACCCTAAACCCTACACGAGCCGAACCTAGGTTCGGCTGGTACGGCTTCAACTGCGGCTCCACCCTGGGTCTCAGCGAGATCAAGGCAGGATTCATGGCTGCGCAGGTGGCTAGGCAGGCCCTTGGGACACGTTGTTTGTTTTCCTCTTTTCGTTTAGGTTTTAGGGTTTAGGGTTTAGGGTTTAGGGTTTAGGGTGATCATGTTCAGGAATGTTTGTCAGAGGGTTTTAAGGGCCATCCCAGGTAGCCATGAACACCACGATCGCAGCCGCGACGGGAGGCCTGGTTGTCTTCGTGGCTCGTTCTCTTTGGTAGCCCAGTGGTAGCATTTCCCCCTTTTTTTTGGGTTTAGGGTTTATAGGGTTTAGGGTTTCGGGTTCCCTTACAAAGTCACCAACCCAAAAAAAGGGCGCCCTTAGGGAAATATGGTTACTCTGCTACCAAGCCGCGCAATCAAGGTGGTTTATTGGGGGTACTTGGAGGTTCATGGTGCTTAGTAACCAATTATAACTGTACTTCTAACCCACTTATAAGCCCCCTAAGTGCCCTAATGTGGTTATAAGTACAGTTATACGTACAGTTATAACTGGTTAATACGTACCATGAACGTCCAAGTAGGTACCTGGGGCAGCTTGTGGAGCCTTAGGGAGCAGCGGGGAGGATTAGGGAACCTGGGGTTAGATACCCCCCCTTGGACCCCCTCCCTGAAGGACCCTAGAAGTGGTGTTCTATTGATCTCATCAGTTGTTTTTTTTATGTACTGGTTACGTTTGGCTTAGGCTTGGGATTTGGGCACCTGCTCTTAGTCCAAATGCCCGTGTGTGTGCCTGCTCGCCCCGCCTCTTTTTTGTATCGTTGTTTGCATGGCTCAGGGGTTCGAGTTTTGGAACTGCATCTGATGCCATCTTTGGCAAGTGGAAGGCAACACTTCATGTCTTGTCTACCGCGACACTCAGACACCGTGCTGAAAAACTCCTGTGAGGGTCTTTTGCGGTGTGTTTGGCACGTTTAGGTGCTGCGTTTGGCCATGACCAAGAAGTACGACATCGGTGGCTTCTGCAACGGCATCCTCGCGGGCCTTGTTTCCATCACAGCGCCTTGTGGCAACGTGGAGTGCGGCAGCGCCTTTGCCATCGCCATCATCGGAGGCCTGGTCTATCAAGGATGCTTGGCAGCCTTTCTTTCCTACCATTTTGCTTAAGAACCCCCCCCCCCAAAAAAAAAAAAAAAAAACAAAAAACAATCAGAATAAATAAACAAAATCAAAATAGTCTTCCTAAGGGTAAGGTCGCGATGATTGTCTTTAAATGTCTTTAATATGTTTAGGGTTCTTAAGCAAATAGAGGCTTCGCCACCGTCTCACAATTCGCCCCATTCTTGCGCGGACTGGAGGTTTTCACCGACCTGCTGAGAATGTCAGAAGTTCACCTCTTGCAAAGTAATCCCCTCCCCCTCACATTAAACCCCCCTACTATTTAATATTAAGGGGTAGGGGGGGGTTAATATTAGGGGGGAGGGATCAAGCCGTGAGCTGTTCAGGATCCTCGTCCTTGCTGAAGAAGTTGAGGGTGGATGACCCCATCGATGCCTTTGCGGTGCATGGCGCTTGCGGTGCGTGGGGTGTTCTGGCCGCTGCACTCTTCGACTGGGGGAATGGCTTCGACTACCATCACGGATGGAGTGGCTTCGGGTGCGTGATGGAGGACAACCCGAAACCCCAAACCCCAAACCCTAAACCCTAGACCCTAGACCCTAAGCCCGAAACCCGAAACCCGAAACTCTAAACCCTAAACCCTAGACCCTAGGTAACTCGAGACCCGAAACCCTAAAGCCTAAACCCTAAAATCTAGACCCTACACCCTAAACCCGAAACCCTAAACCCTAGGAGTCCTAGGAGTCCTAGGATTGACCACCAGCCGAGCCAACAGAACCGAGCGATCATGCGTCCCTAATCCTCCTCACCTCTCTGGAACAAAATCATAGCCTAACTCGACGTCCTCTACGAGGAGGGGCCCCCTTACTATACTAACTATAGGGGACTTAGTATCCTAAGTTAGGATCTCCTTGTAGAAGATCTTACAAGCACATCTGCTCAGATCCTCTCTGGAACCAAATAGCCACATGATAGCCCGAAACCTAAACCCTAAAGCCTAACTCGACATCCTCTAGAAGATCTTACAAGCACATCTGTTTAGATCCTGGTGCAGGACGGTGCCTGCGCCAAGGGAGCCGGAGGGGACGCCCTTGCGGCGAACCTACTCGAAGTGGTCATGATCGCGCTTCTTAAATCTTACTTAGCCAATGGTAAACCCGAATTCCTAAACCCTAGAACTTTAGACTTTTTGGGCTTCCCTGTTTAGTAGGAACCATAAAGTTCAACCTTGTTTATTCCTTGGCTACAGGAGAAGCAAGTAAACCCTAAACCCCAAACCCTAATCAACCCCTAAACCCTAAACCCCTTGCAGCAGAAGTAAGGCTTTGGTCGGGTTTCTGGACCACCCTGATCCTTGGATTCAGAGCAGGATTTTCGTCTAGGGTTTGGGGTTTAGGGTTTAGGGGTTTGTTCTTGCTGAGTGCCTGGGGGACCGCATTATGAAAAGGCTTTTTGAGTAACAGTCCTCAATAGGCATTATAGTACCCCCCGTATTAAAATCCCTAGTAAGGACTGCTAGCATAAGGAGGAACATCCCAATACACACATCTTAGTAGGCTTAAGAGCATCAGAGTAGCATAGGGTGTGTGATCCCGAATTGAGACTCCATACCCAAGGTATGAACAGAGCTTTTTCGTTCTTGTTTCCCGACACGAGCAACCAAAACTACATGGTAGCAGCAGCTTTCACGCTGCCGGGTCCCAAATTCTGCCGTGCACCCTACAACCCTCATCGTTTAGGTTAGGGTTTAGGGTTGAGGGCAAAGTCTTTGCAAGTTGCATGTTTGCCGGCAGCCTCCAAAGTCCGTTGCTCAAAAGGGTTGAGGGCAAACATGTTCAGAGGCCGCGCCTAATGAGCGCCTGACCCTAAGCCATAAACCCTGAACAAATCGAGAAGGGAAACCCTGAACCCTAAGCCCTAAACCCTAACCTAAACCCTGAACCCTGAACTCCAAACCCTAAACCCTAAACCCCAAACCCCTAACCCTAACCCTAACCCCCCCCCCCTCCTAATTTGTCAAGCGCAGCCAAGGATCTTCTTGCCGCTCCGATTCGGCGGCTTCCTTCGTGTGTCTGACGAAGACCAGGACGCAGGCCTTGATGCGGTAGCTGGGGCTATACAGCGTTATTCTATGTTGTTTTTTTGTTTAATGAGTTTGTTTGTTGTTGTAGTACTAGTATAATTGTGTGACTATGTTATGTGTAGAGTGTTAGAGCGTTTATGTTGCATAGTTCTTCAAGTTTTTTTAACTTGTTACAGTATGGTATGAATATCTTACTCAAATCATCCCATTTTACCTTTTTCCGTATCATTGTCATCATTTTAAAAGAAGTGCTACATTGTTGTATGAGCATATTGGCATTGTTATTTTACGTCGGTTTTGCTATGTTAGCAGTACGAATATTCTGTCTTTACCCATCCCGCTAAACTCTTCAATTCTATATTTATTATGTTCTCATGTTCTTGATTTTTGTTATGGGAGTATAGTCTTATCCCAGCGTATTATGTAAATATACATAAACGAATATTTTTATACATAAATAAATCAATAAGTTAATTAACTAATTATATGTATACATATACATATATATATTTATTTATTTGTTTGTACTGCTGTTGTGTGTTGTTTTGTTTTATTTATTTGCGATCCGGTTATTTGTCGGCTATATGTTTTTTTCATCTGCCATGATGGTGCATCATTGTGTTATCAGATTCATCTTCAGTCAGCAGTGCAGGGATCTGGGTTTGATCGCTTATCATGTGCGTGCATCTGGTATAATTCTGAGAGACAAAAGTTCCTAAACCCTAAACCCTAGATTCATCTCTCCAGGAGTCCAGTGTTGACACCAACCAAGGTCAAGCATTCACCGACCAAAGCCTACTGCCTCGACATCAACTCCACGCAGGTCACCGGAATTGCCGTTCAGAAGGTGCGCCCCGACTCTTGGCGATCAGGGATTTTCAGACCTCCCCCCGAGCTGTTTTCTTACGATGTCTGAATATTAGTTGTACTAACCTTCTATCTTCACACATTCTGCTAGACTCCTATTTCATTACATTGTGTGATGTTCTCACGTTCTTTTTTATGGGGGTCTAGGAACATGCAGGCCCACCGTCACACATGAGCTACGCAAACCTTCGGACAACAAGAGCAGGCAACACACTGGCAACCTGTTCCCTAAGCGTTGCATGTCGCTGGTGAGTGGGGGAATCTAATCTAAGGGGATACTTGCATCGGCCTTTAATCGGGTCCCTTACCTCCCTTCAAGGGTTCTGAAGTGTAGGCCCTTAAATGTGTATGTATGAGGGGTATATAATTAGGGGTACCGGTTTATGGGCCCATACTAAAGGATCATGTAACTACCTGAAGACAAATCCTATACAGGTTTTAGGGTATATTTTTGGATGTTCCCTCCTAAACTACTCTACACTCTAAACCCCTTAATAGGGATGACATTAGGGGCTACTATAATCCCTAGTAAGGACTGTTAGTGTAAGGGGGAACACCCCAACCCTAAACCCGAAACCCTAAACCCTAAACCCTAAACCCTAAACCCTAAACCCTAAACCCTAAACCAAAAGAAAACCTAAACCCTAAGAGAGAAGCCAATGAAGGTTGGGAGCTGATCGACCCTCGAGGCCTGCGACGCGGCCGCAGATGCAAATGCATGCCAGGGAGGCGGTTTAGGGTTTAGGGTTTAGGGTTTAGGGTTTAGGGTTAGGGCCCTTGCAGAGAGATTTTTAT